GGGGAGGATATGGCGATAATGACAATGGAAGAGATAGTTACAATGGGTTCAGGGGAGAGAATGCAGAGGGTGAAGCTCAGAGAGGAGAATTCATGGCGACCTGGAAGGGGGAGTCGGAGGAGCTGACAGAGAAGAAAAAGCATCTATGTGGGTGTTACAAAATATTCAGAGAATAAGCAGTTTGGTGTCACTTTTGAAGGTATAGAGACACAAATGGTGGACTTGTTTATAGAAATAGAAAAAAGGAGAAGGGAGAATAATGTGAGGGGGGAAACAGTGAGGAGAGAGAGAAAGAGAAAAGGGGAGGGAGGTTCTCGGGAGCTAAAGAGGCTTCAAATTTCAGTTAATTATGAGGGCCGGCGAAAGAGGAACAAGAAAATGGAGGGTTGCTGAAAAAGAATAATTGATGATCGAGTAAATCATATCTTGGAATGTTCGGGATATCAATGATTGGAAGAAGAGATAAGTCATAAAGGATTGCAAGAAAGGTGGCACCCGGATGTTTTATGCCTCCAAGAAACAAAAATGGAGGATTAATGGAGAATGGCAGGTCTCACCAGCTAGAGGGACAGCGAGAGAGAGGGGGGCTATAGTTATGTGGGGAGAGGAGAAAACTAAGTGTAAGGAGGTGTTGATTGGGGAGGTAATAGTTTCGTGTCTCTTTGAACATTGTCAAAGGGAAGGGGAGTGGGTGTTTACTAGGGTATACTGTAGGGGACTGAGAAGGTAGAGAGAGATGCAGTGGCATGAATTGGAAATGTATTGGCAGAAGTGGAATGGGTTATAGATGGTGGGTGGTTACTTCAATGTTGTTCTGTCCAGGCATGAAAGATTGGGAGAGCAATATTCAAAAAGTTGTGCTGTTGAATTTAAAAATAACATGGACAGACTTGACTTGATGGATATGTCACTCATGGGGTGCAAATGGACTTGGACAAACCAAAAAAACCCACCATCATGCTCGAGGATAGATAGATTCTTGGTGTCTTCTAAACCGCCTTGTTTAGTTTGCAGGCTTATGTCAAAAGGTACTCCAGAGACCCATATCTGACCATTTTCCGATCAGCCTAGATTCAAATGGGATACAGTAAGGACAAGTACTATTCAGATTCAATAATAAGTGGTTTAAAGTGGAGAACTTTAAAAGCAATGTTGAGAAGTGGTGGAAAGATACTAGAGTGGCAGGTAAGGCAAGCTTTAGAGTGGCACATCAGCTCAGGGCAGTTAAAGATGAGATTAAGAAGTGGGCCAAGGGGATGGGAGAAGGGAGGAAGTGAAAACCCAGTTTCTACTATAGGAAATCGAGAACCTTGATAAAAAGGAAGAGGAAGCAGGGCTGTCACAGGAAGATCTTGCACTTAGAGAATCTATAAGAATTGACTTGGCATGCAGGCTACAGATGGAGGAGATACCTTGGCAGCAAAGTTCTAGAGAGAGATGGTTAAAGGAGAAGAATAGGAATACAAGGCTAGAAAAGAAATTAATTATATTGAATAAGAAGGCTAGACTGTTGTGGAAAGAAGCACTGTTTGGCAATCTTTGGCTAATTACTAGGCAGGTAACTTTTATCCCTTTTGAAATAACAGTATACTGAATATAAACTAGTTTTCCTGAGACTTTCTACACTTTCTCCAAACAAATTACGACCTTCATACACTCCTACCCTTCATAAATTTCATTCATGTCAATAGTCATCCATATTCAGCATCTTATCGCAAGTCCTTCAACCAAATGAAACCATTTCCCCTCTCTCAAATCAAAAACACAAACAAAAGATTCAGAATACTAGAGAATGATCTCATGAAAAGAGAAGAACAAAATAAGGAGAATAAGTTAATCAATTTGGTTGACCGTCAATTCATAAAAGTTTCCACATTGATCATGGTCATTACAAATTTTTCAGAGCACATAAAAAAAAAAGAAAGAGAGTTGAGAGTTCGAATGTACCCTTCTCCGCGACTTCTCCGCTCATTTTGTTCTTCTCCGAACCTCTAGTCTCCTTCAATATGATCCTTCAGCTTACGCTCTCCTATCTTATCCAAATCACCCTCGTAATCCCGGAATTTCAACTCCCCCTCTCTCTCTCCCTCGGCCTTCTATTCTCTCTTGCTCACTGGAAAACCGAAGCTGTCTCTTCTCCCAAAATCACCTCTATTTTCCCAAAACCTTCACCTCCCTAAGGCGTCTTCCCTCTTCCTTCTAAGCTACAAACTTCGCCCTTTTAAGCCTTCTTTTCCTCAAATCGTAGCCGCCCAATTACACGAATCTCGGCCACGTGTCTCTTCTTCTCTGCAGCAGCCGACTCCCTGTCTTCTTTCTCCGACAGCCTCTTTCTGTGGTTGAAGCTGCAGTTCTATGGTCTCCCAGATTTCTCTGTCAATTTGTCTTCTTATTCACGCGGGCCAGCAGGTTCTCTTCTGTGTTGCTTTTCGCTGCAGCTCCACCTCTCGCCAGCTTCTGTCGCGCTGGTCTATTTGTAAATCGTCTCCTTTGCCGCTTCTGTGCTACCGCTCTCCTTCTACCGCTCTTCTCCTTCCCAAAAGAACGAGGAAGAGAAGAAACTTTCCAACAAGACTTTTCGGGAAGATGCTGGCATTGGGGTTCGGCCTTTTGTATTTGCATTTGGGCAAGGCTTGGGTTTTGGGCTGTTTACGGTTCTTTTTGTCTTTTTCTTGGGAGTAAACCTGGGCTGGGATTTGATTTTTAGTTCGGTAAGTTTGAGTTAGGATAATAACATGGGCGATTTAGGATGAGTTTTATGAAATCTGAACTCCATCTATTTTTATGAAGAGTAAATCCGAACCTGCTCCTTGGACCATGTCGAGTTTTTGGTTTATTCAATTCAAACTCAAGTTGAGGATTTTATTATATAATTATATTTATATTTATATTAAAAATTAAAAATATATTTACGAATATATACAATAAATATATTAATTATATTTATCAATATAATTATATTATATTTAATTATTTATATATAATATTTATTATTATAAATATTAATATATTTATAATAATAAAAAGTAAAATATTTATGTAAAGAATCAAGTTCTAACAAATTTTAAAAAGTCAAACTCAAACATATCCAATTCACCCCTCTTTTCTTGTTAACCTAAATTTGAACCTCCATTTTAAACAATAAAAAAAAATGTGTATCAAAATAAGTACAGATTGATCATATCAAGTAATTTCATACACAAAATATTATCATTCAGTTGAGATATGTTATGTGTTATATCTCATTTTCAACCCATCAACATAATAATAATAATATGATTAAATATTAATAATAATAATAATGAGATGACATAATAACTAAATTTAATAAATTAATTTTACCATAGAATTATTATTATTATTATTATTATTATTGTTGTTGTTGTTGTTGTTGTTGTTGTTGTGGTTATTATTATGTTAATTATAAAGTTTTATTTTATTTTATTTTATATTATTTTGGACAAAAATAAATAAATAAATAAGACAAATTAAGAATAAAAAAAATAAAGGAGAGAAAGCCTAGACCAAACAAAGAAGGAAAATAAATGAAAGGAAAAAAGAAAAGAAAAAAAAAACCTACCTAGCCCAACCTTTTATGGTCCAGCCCAACACCGACATCCTCCAAGACGATGTCATTTCCTCCCGTTAAGAAAAAATGAAGTTGCCTAAAACGACAATGTTTCACTCATGAAGTGAATCATGTTATCTTTAGCTTTTAACCAACCTCTTCGATTTCACTTCTATAGTAGCATATAATCTCGACCCTTGATGCACGTAGCTAAATCTATTTTGTAGAGTGGTGGACAATACAAGAATTTGGGCTTTTTTTGTTTTTTTTTTACAATGAGCAATGTTGTTGTTACTTATGTTCTTTCGTACCCTCCTTGCTCCTTGAGCTTGCATCTATCTCACTCATCACTACTTATTTGAGATCTAGGTCTACACATAGAGAAGAGGCCAACCAATCCACGCTCCTGATCCCAAGTTGACATGATTGCCATAAATAAGCGTATAGTCT